TTGTAGCCTCCTACTATCTTCCTCTGTCTTGATCCTCCTCAATGTGTATGTATTCACCTAGTTGTGCTTGCTGGGGTTGAGCTCTGCTCTTTCGGCCCGCCTCTCAACTGTCAATCAACTGTTACTAACTACTAATTTTTTTCCAACACACACACACCCAGGAAGCAGCCTGTGACAGCTGACTAACTCCCAGGTACCTATTTACTGCTAATTAACAGGGGCATCAGGGTGAAAAAGAAGTGTGCCCATCGTTCCTCGCTGGCGCCGGGAATCGAACCCGGGCCACATGATCACGTGTCCAGTGTGCTATCCACCCAGCCACCGGCGCCCTATGTGTGTGTGTGTGTGTGAGTGTGGAGTGTGTGTGTGTGTGTGTGTGTGTGTGTGTACTCACCTATATGTGCTTGCAGGATCGAGCATTGACTCTTGGATCCCGCCTTTCGAGCATCGGTTGTTTACAGCAATGACTCCTGTCCCATTTCCCTATCATACCTGGTTTTAAAATTATGAATAGTATTTGCTTCCACAACCTGTTCCTGAAGTGCATTCCATTTCCCCACTACTCTCACGCTAAAAGAAAACTTCCTTACATCTCTGTGACTCATCTGAGTTTCAAGCTTCCATCCATGTCCTCTCGTTCTGTTACTATTCCGTGTGAACATTTCGTCTATGTCCACTCTGTCAATTCCTCTGAGTATCTTATACGTTCCTATCATGTCCCCCCTCTCCCTTCTTCTTTCTAGTGTCGTAAGGCACAGTTCCCTCAGGCGCTCTTCATACCCCATCCCTCGTAGCTCTGGGACGAGTCTCGTTGCAAACCTCTGAACCTTTTCCAGTTTCATTATATGCTTCTTCAGATGGGGACTCCATGATGAGGCGGCATACTCTAAGACTGGCCTTACGTAGGCAGTGTAAAGCGCCCTAAATGCCTCCTTACTTAGGTTTCTGAATGATGTTCTAACTTTTGCCAGTGTAGAGTACGCTGCTGTCGTTATCCTATTAATATGTGCCTCAGGAGATAGATTAGGTGTTACGTCCACCCCCAGGTCTCTTTCACGCGTCGTTACAGGTAGGCTGTTCCCCTTCATTGTGTACTGTCCCTTTGGTCTCCTATCTCCTAGTCCCATTTCCATAACTTTACATTTGCTCGTGTTGAATTCTAGTAGCCATTTCTCTGACCATCTCTGCAATCTGTTCAGGTCCTCTTGGAGGATCCTGCAATCCTCATCTGTCACAACTCTTCTCATCAACTTTGCATCATCCGCAAACATCGACATGTAGGACTCTACGCCTGTAAACATGTCGTTAACATACACAAGAAATAGAATTGGTCCCAGCACCGATCCTTGTGGTACTCCACTTGTTACTGTTCGCCAGTCCGACTTCTCGCCCCTTACCGTAACTCTTTGGCTCCTTCCTGTTAGGTAGTTCCTTATCCATTCTAGGACCTTTCCCCCCACCCCCGCCTGCCTCTCGAGCTTGAACAGCAGTCGTGTGTGTGTGTGTGTGTGTGTGTGTGTGTGTGTGTGTGTGTGTGTTTTTAAGGGAAGACGGGGAGGGTATGTGGGGAAAACATGACACCAGGTCGACCAGGTCCACGCCGGATACCCCGTTAAAAATGCGACGTATGGAGTGAGAAGATTAGTTAGACACACACAGTCAGCGAGACAAACAGATGAGGGATGATCTATCTCACTCTGGAAACACAGCTCATGTAACGGGGATCTAATTTCAATATGCTTTAAACTGCTTCTCATCAAGCCCCATTTTTGTGGCAGTAACCCTAATAACAATAAGGATCCGGCCGGAGTATCTCTGTCCTACCTGCTGTTTCTTTTATTATACCCCGCACACCTAGTAGTAGGCATCCATCAGTCTCGGGAGACTATGGAGATGCGCTGTGGTTGTCGGTCTGGAGTGGCCTCTCCAGGGCACAAAGCCAGGGATGGTAGATACAGGGGAGAAGCTGTCACCCATGCAGCAGGTCCCTCCCTCTCCACGGCGCCGAAAGTCTCCAAATGGAACGGCTAATGCTAATACGATTGGTTCCAGCGCCGTCGCATGAACCCGTACACCTACTATACCATTATACACATCAATCATTCTAGTATACTCTTATAAATACGCTGATATACCTAACAAAGATAGAGAGGTTATTGACAAAATGTGCCGATATATAGAGCAAAGGCTTTTAAATGGAAGAGTGACTCCCAGGTGAGATCAATCTTTAATTAATTGCTTTGTTAAATGTGCAGGTGTGGAAGTCAAGCCAGACATCAGGCCACCAAAAGAGTGCGTGAATGGACACCTGAGACCCATCTGAACGTCTCCCTCTTCCATAAGGAAAGGAAATTGTCGGGAAAGCGCCAAGCCATAACTACTAAATAGCACTGGGAAGGGATCAGGCTAAGGATTTGGGATGGGACGGGGAGGGAAGGAATGGTGTCCAACCACTTGGACGGTCCGGGATTGAACACCGACCTGCATGAAGCGAGACCGT